TATAACGAATAGCTTACGTTTACGTTACGTCACGTCAACAAACTGACTAATTTAAAATGCTACAACAATGTATATGCTTGTCCGCTTCTATATATCTTAATCATGGATACTTGAAATCAGTAATACCATCTCTCCTCCCCTCCTAAATACGTTCATTGAATGTTCACGGAAATAATGTCAATGCAAAAGCCAATGCTAAGCTCTATCACACAGGATGTATACACAATTAAACCCCCAACCACCCACTTGAACACAATCAAAGGATAATGAGTCGATTTGTTGTTAGCATTTATTTCAGATGATTGACGGATCTCAACAGAAGAGAGGGAAATCTATAGACTAGTGAATATGCATGCTAGACAATTATTTTTTTAAGTTTGTTCCATTTGTAGAGTTTGGTAGTTCCTAGACGAACTAGTTCATTGGACCTATTCCGATAAAGGAACGATATGAACTACACCCCGTCCATTGTTCCCATGTAGTAGGTCAATCAAATAAGACATTTAAAAAATTTGGTATTCCTATAGGTCCGTCATTTTAAAAATCCAAGGACTCTTGTAGGTCGGTGAAAAAAACTGTTTCCAAAAAACTGCGCATATTGTAGGTCCTTGAAAAAAAAAAAATTACTAAAAAAATCCACGTCTATTGTAGGTTCTTGAAAAAGTTATTTCAAATATTTTATTTAATTCAAAGCCATTGTAGTCATTGAAAAAAATTGAAAAATTCTCTCCTTTTGTTGACCCTTGAAAAAATTATTTTAAAAATCCAAAGCCATTGTAAGTCCTTGAAAAAAATTATTGTAGGTCCTTGAAAAAATTATTTAAAAAATCCACGTCTATTTTAGGTCATTGAAAAAATTATTTAAAAGATTCACAGCCATTGTAAGTCCTTGCAAAAATTATTTAAAAAAAATCCATGCCTATTGTAGGTCATTGAAAAAAAAAAATTGTTTAAAAAATCCACGTCTGTAGTAGGACCTTGAAAAAAATATTTAAAAATCCATGCCTTTGGTGAGTCCTTGAAAAAAATTGTTTAAAAAAGCAACGTCTATTGTAGGACCTCGAAAAAAAATATTTAAAAAATCCACGCATATAGTTGAAGAAATATATTTAAAAATTGCAGGTCATTGAAAAAATAAAAACAAAACATTTTAAAAGTACCTACAATCGATCGGGACTTTTAATGTATTTTTTTTTTGCTGGGAATACATTGCCACCAATGCGAACACATTATATCAAATTAGACATAATTCGAATGAAGAATGTGGCCCAAAATCCCCCAAAATACCGAATAATGGAGAGGAGTTCCATTATATAGGGACTACCCCGAAAGTTTAGAGTATATTAATAATTTTTCGATATGGAATTTTTCAATAAAATTTAAATCTAAAATACTAAATTTTATTGAAAAAAAAAACTGTCCAAATTTTGCAAAATATCGACATTTGGAGGAGGGATATACTAAAAAGGCCCAATATTCAAAATGTTGGGTAGGTAGATTTGCTACCCAATGATACCACAAACAACTACTCATATTCAAAAATTTTGGTAGGAAATTTTGATATCTAATGAGAATCAAAAGTAATAAATTGCAGCCAATTCTGTTGATAAATGGGCTTAAAATGTCGAATATTTATGGCTATCGTTATATGGGCGATATACCAAAACGGTATGGTCTGATATATTCCATTTTCAATGCCAAACATCCCAGTAGTAGTACTAGCAATATTGTATCTTAAATATTGCGATCTCATCGCTAAATGGACTCGTAGTTTATGGGGTCTTCCGTGAATATATCGAAATGTTGCAATTCCGTTTATCTTATGATGCCGGTTAATGTATCTTCATTCATTTGTCAATGAGAAATCAATATCTCTCCACCACCCATCTTTTCGATTTTAAATTATGTGCAATATATAATTAGGTTTAATGTAAAATATTTGATATAACTAAGGTGGTATGTATGTATATATCCGATATATACCTAAAATCCCTGCCACCACTGGTTGCCACCCATAACGGTTAATGCCACCTCCTAAACACAAACTAACCAATAAAAGTCCGAACATATATTGTATATGGTTATGTGTGCTGGTGTGTAGACATGCTTACTGGGGCTGAATGAACCATTGACAAAATTGAGACATATGCACACACACACACACACACACATGACTTTATGTTCCTCTAAGCTTATGGAATTTCTGGGTGGTGGTGGCATATAGACCGAACCGAATTCATTAAAATTATTTGTATAAAATACACGCTTATATTCGTATACAATCTGTCACATAACCACATATAAATGTGTATGTATGTGTGTATACATAAATACAGTGGATCTTCGCTAAAACACCAATTTTATATTTGTCTAGCCACATTTTCCATCAAAAATAATTTGTTGTTATATAAGGGAATTTTCTCTATAACGATCGATATTATGTATTCATCGATATATCCAGTCAGATATATTTATTATTATGCAAGGTCTCTTATTGGTCTCTTGTGTGACATACATTATTACTTAGTACAAGGCAGGATTTTGCTGCTGGACCCCCTCCCCTTGTCTTGCTCGTCATTCTCTTTTGCGAATGACGAGCACGATAACTCAAAAACTAAAAACCCAATCGATTCCAAATTTTTACACGTTGCTCTGTGAGTGTATAGCTATCGTATGAACTAAAATAAAGCCAATCGATGAAGATCTTTTAGAGCGAAGTCAATAATCCTAGTTCATACGAGAGCCAGACATGTACTCTTTCTAACACCGTTGGAATTTTCGGATTCCGATGTTCCAGTGAGGAGTTATCATGCCCGCCATCAAAAATAAGGACTTCTCTTTAATTACAAAAAACAACAACAAAACAATTACATAATTTTTGTAAATTATTTTTCTTCTCTTTTAAATCTTCAAATATATATGTGCAAAGTTACAAACCTTAACAAGCACTGATATTGATTTACCAGCCCATTGAAAATCTTGAAAAATTAAAAACGAGATTGGGGACGGTTTCCTTAATATGGATTTTAGTAAAGCATTTGTAATTTCCAAATTGATTAATGGAAGTAGCTATTTTGTCAAAAACCTAATGGTTTTGGGTGAATTTCCGACTTTTTTGACGTATGTATTATACGTTGGAAATGCATGTAATTTACGTAGCTACTTCTGACGGGTTATACACCGTACAATCCTGACATGACAGCCACAGACTTCTTTTTATTCCCGCACATCAAAAAATAAATAAATTTCGTCGCCAGAAGATGTTGGGAAAAAGAGCTGGAGAATTCTTTAAAAAACTGTAAAACCATTTTTGATGATAAATATTCGCATTTTCATTATTAGGCCAGTCTCCGATTCTGCCAATCTAATAAACCTAATTTTAGAGCTTTAAAATATTGCATATACACTCAGTAGAAGAAGTCTGCGTAAAAGATTTATGCACATATGCGTGCATGATTGGTATCACCACTTGTGAGTATTGGCGGCCGGCCAGAACGTAGACGAGGAACAAAGCCCCGGTCGATTAGAAATTTTTTACCTCTCTTTGTATTGAAGAATGTGTTCTACAAACAATTCTTGTGAAACTGATCTTTTACGCGTTCACCAATTTGCGATGCTGAAAGAGTTAGATTTTTTTACACACTTTGCAAAGCTTTGCGCAGAACGTAGACGAGGAACAAAAGCCCCGGTCGATTGGAAATTTTTACCACTCTTTGTATTGATGAATGTGTCCTACTAACAATTCGACCAATTTGTCTATTTATTTGAAAGAATTTGACAACCGCATAAACTATGTGCTTCAACGTATGCCATTTCCGCATTATGTCATTCCCTTTCGTTGTATTCAAGGAAATGAATAAGCGTATCCTAATGATGACGACATTTTATCCTCTATATAGGTTATGTGTTTTTAAAGCAAAAAAGGGAAGAGGATGAAAAGTATTTAAGTAATTTGTATAAAGAAGTCATGTATTCTGTTTTTTTTTCAATACCATAAAGATGTCATAGCATAATCTCTGCTAAATCTTAAATGTCTGATTGCAGGGTGTTTTAAAGAATTTTCTTTTTCCATTTGATAACTTCGCAACTATGTCTTCTTCTCCTCTCACCTGTATATAATATAACTGCTAACAGGTCCTTGTATCCTTTTTATGTGACAATCCCTCACAAGAGGTTTTCATATTCGTTTTTTACTTTCTAACAATGTTGCTATCCTTTGTCATTTGGGGATTTTCCAGTTCATTTGTGGTTCATCCACTAAAAATAGAAACATTTTCCATTGAATATTCAGATTTCTGAGACAATTTTTGATTTTCCAAAACCAAACTTACTTTCAATTCCTCCTATATTAAACTCTTGAAATTATTCTTAATTATCCATATACACAAAGTTTATTTAAATAGGTTACACCCTTCGTGAAAAAGAGGTCCTGAAACAATTTTCCTAAAATAAATTCGCTTCAAGTGTTGAAATTACTATCTCTAAATTCATAGTATTAATGTGTAGGCTCTATTCTACAAGAGTTCTCAATAAAAATAATATTCATATTCCGTAGCACGTACATGCATGCATACACAATTATATCTATGAACCATAAAATCTTTAAAATTTCTCCACATTAATGTATAATTGAAACTGGTTTTAGTTTCTTTCATTTGAATTAATATCTGGTTTCTGGGTTGTATGGCTGGTGGCAACGGCTGTAAAACACGTACATGATGTCGTCTAAACCATTTGTTGTTTTTCAGACTTGGCCATATGTCATTTGGATGGAGTACAGAAAATAATAAGAAGAAGAAAAAACAACTATTTTGTAATCTAGTTTGTATTAAATGATTAATTTGTTTGTTTCACATTTTCCCCTCTCCGCCCATTCAGATTTATATTAGATAAAAAAATAATTTAAGTAGTCAACAACAATACCACCAAACAATTTATTTATTGCAAGTTTATGTACGATTTCTAATTTGAATATTTTTTTGTTTTCTTTCTCATTCCAGGAATATGATATACAAGATCATCGACCGTTTCTATCACTCAATCAAAGTGGCCTAAATAAACCTGATCAAATCAAATTTGCCCGTTATCTTGGACAAGGTTTACCGACGTTTACATTATTTTGCATTTATAGTAATTTTAAAAATTTATTTTGCACAAAACGTACCGAAAAGTAAGTATCATTTCAATATTAATTGTTTGTCATATGTTTATGTTCTTTTTTATCTATTCTTTGCTAATTAGAGATACAATGTAAATTGTGGCCACGAACGCAAACATATTTGAATTTGTATGCAAGAAAATAGTTAACTAGAGGTTGTTAACAGTCGTATGCTTAGAGCAGCAATAACAACGTTTTACCAATGTAACTTTCCATAGGAAATTTAAATAATTTAGAAGTTCCTTAGACCAACTTGTGCCAAGAAGTTTTCCACCCACTTAAAACTCACAATGCTAAATTGCAATATTTTTGGGATAGGTTAAATGTTGGAAAAGTCAAATTTTTCAGGATTGGGCTATGGGCCGTATTGAGAAATTTTCGTACTATGAAACCGAAATGCACAGTTTTGTTTAATCATAATTATTTCTATTCCATGTATTAATTAAGATCTAATTCACATAAAGCTCCATACAGACAGTCTTAGAAGGTTAGGTTAGGTTTGGGGATGTGCAGTCATATGTGTGACTGCAACACTCTGAGACCGGTTAGGTCCGTTGTGATCATCCACAAGAAGAGATACGGTGAAGAGAAGAGACCAAAGACAGATCTATAGGGGATTAGTAAATTAAAGAAGAGTTGAGAATCTTACATTAATGAATAAAAGAAGAATGAAGGTCGATGGCCCTATGAGTCAGACAGAAGATGTGTAGAAAATGAGCACCCATTAGTCTGTGCCGCCTGTAAGCCAGGGCTGGGCAATGACACAGGAGATGCTCAATTGTCTCCGTCTCCTCCTCGTCAACACAGAGTCTACAGTAATCAATGGCATCATGATCCCATTTACTAGTAAAAGCCTTGATGTTGCAGTGACCAGTGATGATTCCCGTCATCACTCTAATTTCAGCTTTGCTCAGGTTCAACAGTGAGTGCGTTCTTTTGGTAGACAGAGTCGGCCAAATTGATCTTGACACGTTGCACCTAGGTTCGTTGTGCCAAAGTTCACAGGCTATTTCGTCAAAGAATGTCTCAAAATTCCTATAGAAAAAACATATGGGTGGTTTGATTGAGTCATCAGTTACTAGATCGGTGGATTGAGATCCTCGTCTAGCTAGTTAGTCCGCTCTTTCATTACCCAAGATGTCACAATGTCCTGGTACCCAACACAACCGATAGCTATGGTTAAGTTCTTCCAGAGCTGCTCTACACTTGAGGACGGCTTCGGATTTGATGTAACAAAATTTGATGGCTTTAAGAGCCGCTTGGCTATCCATAAAGATAGTCACCGGTTCAACGACCTCTGCATCCAGACTTTATATCAATTCCGCTGCCTTCCAAATCGCGAAGATTTCACCTTGGAAAACACTACAGTTGCAATCCAGCTTGTAGGTTAACTCAAGGCCTAACCTTTCACAGTAGACGCCTGCCCCAGACAGTCTTAGAAAAATTGTCGCTCAAGATCCATATACTGTAGGTCCCAAAAATCATACACCCATTTTAATTTAGTTCAATCGAATTAAAATTTGGTTAGATATTTTTTCGGAAACTGTAAAAATGCTAATGATCGGCATATAGGGGCACATAATGGTTACATTCGCTTGTACGACACTCTCCCACATGTTTAGTGTCTTTTACTTACTTATTAAGCTGCCTTGTGACAGAACATTTGTTCCATAAGCCGAGCATAACAAAAATATTTCCTGGCGCATCGGTCTTGTGTGCATCTCATCAAATTTCAAAGACCATGTTCGGCCATGTTGTTTTCCATATGATCTTTCCATCTAATTCGTGGCCTTCCCCTTCTGCCGGAACCCTCAGCTGGTTCGTTTTTATATGCCTTTTGAGCTGGGGTATATTCCTCCATTCTCACAATGTAGTCACTGATTCGACGACGAAACGTCATCGCCGACGCAGATCGATCCAGTGATGCCTCATCTGCTTGGGCAATTACCCATGCTTCAGATCCATACAACAGCACGGGTAATATCAGAAACTTGTAGGATGTGAGTTTGGTCTGGCGAGAAGTGGCCTTGGTTTTGGCCTTAGCATCTATTGGCCAACACTATTCTCCTCCGAATTTCAAAGCTGATGTTATTAGCTCTGTTTATGGCGGTTCCGAGGTATATAAAATCGTTCACTACCTCGAAGCTGTAGTTTTCAAGTTCCAAAGTTTATCTGAGTCTACTGGACGTCTTGACGTCTTGATACCATGAGCTTGGTCTTCTCGCCATTTACTGCCAGTTCCACCGTGGGAGACAGTTACCGTTCGCAATGTTCGACACATTATGTCGATGTCGTCGGCGTAGCCGAGTAACATATGCTGTTTGGTATACAGAGCACGATTTCTGTTCACCTTTGAATCTCTTATGATCTTTTCCAGCAGGATGTTAAACAGATGACAGGACAAACTGTCACCTTGTCTGAACCCTCGCTCCGAGAGGTCCTTTCCGACTTTTACTGCTGTTTCAAAGTTATTCTGCATAGTCGTATTAATTTTGGAGGAAGGCCGAACGCAGACATGACTTTTGAACACCTCTGAACGGATAAGGCTGTCGAATGCAGGTTTATAGTCGACGAATAGGTGAAATGTGTCGATGTGTTTTTCGTGGGTCCTTTCCAGCATTTGGTGTAAAGTGGAAATCTGGCCAATAATGGATTTGCAGGTCTGAAGCCACATAGGTATGGTCCAATAATGTCATTGGCTTCAGTCGTCCACGCAGCACACTGAATAGCACTTTATATGCAATGGAAAGAAGGCTAATTCCTCTATAGTTGTCTTATCTCCTTTCTTGTGAATGGGACACAGGATGCTGATGTTCCAATTATTGGGCATGCATTCAAACATTCCATGTTACATTAGATCGCACCTTTGCTGCTTCATTCAGACGGGTGCGGACCATCTCTTTGCCTGACACAAGGTAATGGTCCGAATCGATATTCGCCCCTCGGATCGATCGAATGTCTAAAACACTGGATGAATGCCTTTTGTCTATCACAATATAATCTATTTGATTTCTCGTTGCTTGATCAGGAGAAATCCAGGTGGCGACCAAAAAATTAGCTAGATATTTATCTAACTCTAAGCCGATCCTCATCAAGGGTTCGTCCTTGGACCAATTTAATATACAGTGCCAAATTTCATCCCAATTGAAAACATATATATACCTGTAAATAATAATATTTTATTAATGAAATATTCTTATTTTATTTTTTCAGTTACACAAAGGATGGCTATAATTTGCCTTATATTCTAGAGAAAACTAAGAGCTTCCTAGCAAACACCGCAGCGGGTAAGTAAAAACAAAAACAGTTATATATCTATTATATCGAAACAAATTATTAATAAACGGTTAGGGAATAAATATATTAATTAATGATAATGGTGTAAAGTATTATTAAATATTTTAATAGTTTTAGACCAATTGCCTTGATTTGATTTGTGACAAATAAAAGTGATAAATAAATATTCAGGATAACAGTAAAACGAAACATTTAATGATAGGTATGCAACAATAGTAATACACTTGAAAGAATTTATTATTACTATTATTTTGCTATAAAGTTTTAATTACTTTTTTAACAAATTCTGCAATTGGCTATATATTTATTTTTAATTTATTATTTTCATTATTTTTTCATTTCTTAAAAAAAAAACAACAATTTCTGTTCTAATCAAATTGGCATAAATTATGTTTTAGGTACTGATAATCGAACTGTCCCTAGCACTAGCAACAACAATAGTAACAGTAACACAGCCATCTCCACCACCACAACCAACACATCCTCGATGTCCAATTCTGCTGTAGAAACAGCCGCGGCCAATCCCCCCAATACCACCACAACAAATAATAGTAATAGCACCACAAGCACCAATGTTCCTTCAAACACAAATAACAACACAGCTATATCCGCCTCCAGTGACAATAACGCTGTGACAGAAACTGCGTTAACTTCTCAGTCAACAATTGCAAGCAATGGCGGTGAAACAACTGCCGCTGCTGCTGCAACGAACGGTGACAACAATGAAATTACCCAAGGCAATTCAAATGGTCATAATCATGTAAACGGAGCTGAGGTAATGCAAACACCAACTAAACAAGCGGCTATGAATGGACCATCAACACCAAGGACTTCCCATGTGCATAATAATCAACAGCAGCCTGCTGCACCCACAACCCCCTTAACCGCTCTGCCACAACAACAGCAGCAACAACATCACTTAATTAATCATCAACATCACATTTCCAGTTTGTCCCGGCCCCAGACTCCCAGCACCCCAAATTCACAACAACATCAAACCCTTTCCCAACATCCGCCACAACAGCAACAACAAATTTCCCACATTCACCCACATCATGTTCAACGTCCGGGCATGCCGATGAGTCCTATTGTGGTGGTTAGCTCGGCCAATGTTGGACCTTCGGCGGTTATTGGATCACCTTTGCCACCCACAACTGCGGCTAATCATCATCTACAGCATCCACATCTTCATGTGCAGCAACAACAGCAGCATCATCCGCAAGCAGTACTGCATCACCAAAACCAGCTTCACCTTCAACAGCAGCAGCAACAACAACAACATCATCCGCATCATATGCAACAGCAGCCGCCGAATCATTTGATACATCATCCCTCACAAATGACCAGTCATCAACAGCAACTGCAACATAACGTTGTCGTCCATGCCGCCAACGGCGGTGGGACTGTTGTCGTAGGCGGCGGTTTTGTTTATCAACAACAGCAGCAGCATCCACAGCAACAACAAATGCAAAAGCAGCAGATTCATCTACAACAACAACATCCAACAACCCAGCCACATCATCCCCTGCAACACATTGCTGTTCAAAATCCTCCCCATTAGGCAAACATATTTACAAATCCCAATAATGATCCCCACAACCCCCACACTCTCCAACACGACAACAACAATAACAACATTTACCACCAGCGCATGATATATTTTGATTTCATATTCAAAATTCCAAAATATACACTACATTAGTTTTGTTTTACAAAATTTTTATATATTTTTCATTTTCAATTGTTGTTATTTTTGTCTGTTGTGTTTGTGTCTTTGTGGAGAGCAATTTCACGTTCTAATTTATTGTTGATTGTTTTATTTTTATTTTTAAATTCAGTTGCTCATTGAGGCAAATTCTATGCTATAAAGAGAGACACCTTTTAGTATTGTATTAAGGCTATTATTTAGTATTATTATTTTTTTAAACAAGAAAATGAAAACCAAACCCCTTGACCGTAATATTATCATATTATCATGTTTAGACTAAGATTTAATTGTGTGTTATATGTTAACAGTTTTATATTCTTTCTAATTGCATTTTAATTTTATTCAGACTTAGAAAGCTATCCTTTCCCAGTTTATATTCGTAGATTATTGAAAAAAATATGCTAAGACCAAGTATCCTACAATTTTATGAGATTCAATAAATATTGACTGGTTTCGTTCAAAAGCGAACGACGAAATATAATTTAGCAAAAACAAAGTAAATTATTTTCACATTCTTCTTCCTAGCTGAAATATTTTGGACAATAATAAAACGTTTTAAATTTGTTTACAAAGAAATTAAATAATTAGCAAAGAAAATGATTATTTATTTATTTTTCCTTAGGGTCGCATTATTTGAAACAAACCTACTGATTATTGATCTTGTTAAGTTGCATAAAATCCCAACAAGAAAATTTATCATTTCAATTATAATATGTACAATATAATTTCAAGACTTAAAATGTTGCATAGTAATAATTATATTCTATCAATATGATTTATAACTATGCAATACTTTTCGAGGTCATCGAGTCCAAGGCAGAAACTTCTACTAGGCTGAATCATGGAAAATATATAATAATAGATATAAACTGTATTTGACAAATGTTTGTCCCCCCATATATTGCATTTTAAGTGTGCAAAGCCCGATCAGTCCAGAAATAATACGAGCATGATTTGTGTTTACTGAACTAACACCAAATTCTAACCAATTGATTGCCTAGTTCAAATTCTCATATCTTATTAGTTTTTTTAAGCCTTCACCACACTGCGGTACAGGATATTATTATTACATAGAATCACTTTCTGAGTCAATTGATGCATGTCCGTCCCGCTGTTGATGTTAAATTGTAAACGATGTGCAGGTAAATTGTAAACGATGTGCAGGTCTTACAGCTCATTTATTTGGCCCAAGGACGAACCCTATTTAAAAAAGGAAAAAATCGGTTCAAGTTTAGATATAGCTCCCATATTTTCGTCCGATTTTATATAAATGTTGTACCAAAGTCCTTATATATATATTTCGATTTACACAAAATTTTGCATAATGTACACAATTGAGTCTAGAATGATGTGTGCTAAGTTCCGTGAAAGTCGGTTGAGATTTAAATATAGCTCCCATATATATTTTCGTCAGTTTTAATGTAAATTGTGCACTAAAGACCCAATGTTTGGCCGATTGGCACACAATTTTGTACAATGTACTTTAACTTCCTTATATGCCATAACCTCCTTATATATTTTCGTCCCAATTTAATTAAAAAGTGCACTAAAGACCCATAGCTAGGCCGATTGACACAATGTACTGAAATTAATTTAAATTATTCTCTGACAAGTTTTCTTGAAAATGGTTCAGATTTAGATATAGCATAGCTTCTATATATAATTTCGATCTATTGATGTTAATTGCACACCAAATAATTAATGGGTGTCTGATTGAGATTCAATATTAAATAGTGCAGCATATCGAATCAAGTTTGCTTTAAATCGATTAACAAAATTTTGCATAGGTTTCAGAATGGCATGTGTAGGGATTGATGTTAGTCGGTTTACATATAGATAAAGATCACATATTTAAGTCCGTTCAATTTCATTTCAATGTTCCATGGAAAATACGACGTCTGTTAGGATACATATGTAGAATAGTTGAAGGGTATCATATAGTCGACCCAGTACGACTGGTTTACACTTTGGATTCTTTTCTTAGGAACGTAAAATTGTTTATAATATATATATAGTAAATTATAGATACACCGTACTACGAATAATGGTATTCCATCAAAGTATATCGTCTCTAATTTCCCTGCCTCGTTTTTACAGTAATCAACGCCTGTATCATCCAGTTCGGGGGGAAGACTTTTGTTCCTACAGAATCTAACTATAATTTCTGCAGCCATTCACATCTATAATTTGCCGATGAAGATGTAAGGGTAGTACAAGATTCATCGTGAAAAATAGCTTTGGAGATCCAAACATTTTCTATATATTACCAGGGTATTTATCACTATGTTCCTTAAAAAATCTGCCGAGGGTGATTTATTATTAAAATTCCGAGTTTTATCGTGATTACAACAGATCATATTTCAACAAATATAGTGAACGGTATAGCAAACGACTATCAGAGCCTAATTATAAATATCCCTGAGCTATTATTTTCCCTAGGAATGCAATTTTGTATAAAATGTTTGTTTTGGGAAATATGCATATCCTTTTTTTGTGTAAAATACAAATTTATTATTCATTAGGATTTATATTATAACAATAGTGGGAAAACGGTAAAATTGTTAACGGATTTGTTATTCAAGATTGGGATCTATTTGATATTGTGCGACACATTGTTTTCGAATACAGTGACCTTAGTTTCTGAATAAGAGAAATTACATAAAACATTCAAATTCTTGTATTGTCCAATTGTTTGCAATCTACCATAAACTATAATTAACCTTTCTTTACTAATTTGCTACGACCAAAAACCACATAATTATCTATATAATAACTTAAGCTATAAGAATACTCAACCTATATACACAACAACCACACTCGCTTCTAAGCACTGAACATTTTTGCATTTTTTTTATTTAGGAGAACCTTGTATGTTTTAATGCGTTTATTTTCTATTCATGTATGTGTTACTAAGTAGTGTTTGTTTTTTTTTACAAATAATGTTAAAAAATAAACCATAATTTTATTATAAATTTATTGATTACTATTTTTTAATATTATTAGAACATTATAATTTAAATTAATTTCAAGTGACTCAATTTCTTTGTTATTTTGTTCGTTTGCATATTGACATGTATAGATATGTATTCAAATTACACTTAACACATAAAAGCCGTTTACATTACGGAATAAAATACTAACATCAACACACTCCGAAAAATAAAATTATTAAATATATATTGCAATGTTATTCCTTATAAAGTGAGATTATTCTTTTTTATTAAATACTTACAACATACATACATACCCATAAATCCACATGAAACACCACAAACTAGAGATTACAATATGTTTAAACAATGCCTAATATTAATTATTACAAATTATATCTATTTATTTCTTAATTTATATATAAAAACTAATTAATTAGACAAAAACAAAACTATTGCTTTCTGCAGCAGGCGACTAAATCTATATAAATAACAATAAACACCAACAATGCTATGACTATCATATTTTATTATTATTTTTTTATATATATATTTATTATTGTGTATTATTACAAATGATAATTATTATATATATGTATAGAAATTGTTATATATATATATATATATATATACCTACTATATAATATTAATAAAAAATCTTATTTTCAAAATAATAACTACAACAAAAACAAATATTACTTCTGAACAAGAAAAGTTTTCAAACAAAATGTCTTTATTTTTTTTTCCTTGGTTTTGAATTGGCGGTAAGCAAAAATATACAAATTGGCTTTTAATTTATTACAATTATATTGTGTTATGTTATGAGAAATGAGGTACTCACATTTATCTATATGACAGCATTACGAACATATTATATATATATTCAGTCTTATTCTGGATATTCGCTAGGGAAAGATCTCGCTTGTGAAAAAATTTGCGCTTTCACATTCTCGCCTAATTCTGAATGAATAGGGTGGAAGAAAAAATGCGAAACTCGAATTTTCGAAAATGGTGATTGAAAAAAGATTCGTGTTGCCATATTGTAATTTAACTTGTAATGTGTGTTGCCCCATTGTAATTTAATTTTGTTTATTATTTTACTACATAATTGTGTGCCGTTTTATTTAATTTCGATATTTTATCTCCCCAAATTCTTAAAGAGGCCAATTATTTTTTAATATTCTCCTCTTACTTTATTTCGACCTTCGAATCATGCACACGATTATTTATTTTTTTTTTTGCTTTATAATTGTTCTTTCATAATTTTTATTTGTGATTTTCACTGTCAGTGTCACCTCCAATTTCAATCAAACTCGACTAAAATATTCCTCATTGCCTTTACACATTCCGTGGCAAAATTTGGTTGAGCATGCATCGTTAGCAATAGAATTTCCAATGGCATTTTATTTCTTTCTCTTTTTCTGAGTTAAAAATATGCATACAACCGTTGATAATATTCAAAATCGTCGTAGAATAAGTACTGTGTAGATATTTTCCATAAAAATATTTAATAGTGAATGTTTTTGTAGTCAGCTCCCTTTAAATTTATTAGCGAACAATTTTCATCACATTCTCCCACTTCCTGTAATCCAGACTAACTATTTTTTTCTCAAAGCGGATTTTTTTCGCTTTCGAACTTTATTCAGAATTAGGGGAAAGTGAAAATGCGAAAAAAAAATTCACTGCGAGTTCTGGGAAGAGCGAACAAATTCACGGTGGATTGTTGTACAGAATAAGGCTGTATATGTTCTAGAGTTGGCAAAGTTTTGAAGGGACATTATTGAATTATTAGAGGTTCGAATTAAATAAGAATGTAAAATTAAAGTTTTTGAATAGGGGGTCCCCTTAAAAAATAAATTGCATAAATTGTAAGTATTTTGAATGGATAGTGAATGTTTGGATTACTCTCTGAAAAGAAGTTACTGAGTAAATGTTACTAGACAAGTAACCGAAAACAACTAATATTGCTTTTCCGATTTGTCCATATCTGTTTAAACTTGCAGACAACATGCCCTCAAAAAAAACCCCGCTAAAATTTTACTTTTATTATTCTCTGTCGTTTTAGATTTGAAAAATATTCTAAATCAGCAATCAAATGATAGTATGGATTTTCTAGTGGCTCCCACATCCACAACAACATTAGTGTCGGCAGGAACAACATCATCGACAGCAATGCCAGCAAATGGATCAGTAACAACATTATCAATGCATGTTAATAACAATAAAAATGGACTCAGTAATAATGCTATGAGTGTTCTTCAGCCACCACCTTTAATACCAACTGAATTACAGCAACAACATGCCACAACAATATCAACACTTATGGACTATAATACCAGCAATAGCCAAACAATGTTGCCACCAACTACAACCAATGGACCACAGGCAGCACCTAACAGACCCTTGGAAAATCTGATGATTTTCGACAATTTCGATGTGCATGAAACTCATCGCATCGAAGATGGCATTTGTACACAATTGTCCAGGTTACCTCCCAAAAAACAGGAATTACTAAAACAGTTCGGTATTCAAACAAATCAGACTGTAACGTATTATGAAAAGTATATTCTCATCGAAAATTTCAACAGATTTTGCAATGTGAGCAAATTACACAAGTCCACATCTTTCAACTAAAGAATGAATGAACATATTACATGTTATATTGAAATGATGTAAACTCTCTCTAGAGGATTTGATTTAATGGAATATTTTTTCTTCTTCTTGTTCTCCTTTTTTTGGACTTTTTATTCGTTTAGGAATATAAGGTGGCCGATCATAGACCCTTTTTGGATTTATCGGAGAGCGGTTTACCAAAATCCGAACAACTTAAATTCATACGGTATTTGGGACAGGGACTACCCAATTTGACACTAAACAAAATCTATTTGGTATTCAAGGACCTATTAGGTTTAAGCAGAATAGAAAAGTGAGTTTAAACACCCATAATTTATATTCCTGTTTTTGCTATAAATTTATATTTTATGTTTTGATTCAATTTCAGAATGGCCATAGAAGGCTACAATTTAGATGCGATATTAAAAAAGAAAAAACGAAACTTATATAATAGAATGACAGCAGCAGCAGGTATGTAAACTATGTTACGATACTTTTGTATACATATCTTACAAAACACTGAGGTGCTTGAGTTGGACCCAAAGCGGATTTAATAATATAGATGCGTAATTTTGAAAATGTAATGCCCGAAATGTAAAAAACAAACAATTCCTCTAAATTAAAAAATACCAAGGCCCTACAACCAAAATTCTCTTGTAGTCAATGCCTGCCTTCACATTTTCTAACATCACATTTACCTTTCTTTCCTTTACAGTTCATAAAGAATGTAATCCAGATGCTAATACACCCACATTACCAGCCACGGCAACAACCATAGTTAAACCACCACCACCAGCAACAACATCGACAAATATGCCAGCGCCGCCACTAACGTCTGTCTATCAACAGGAACCGTATAAAATTTAACGTTGGTGTTCATTTTTATTAAATAATTATTTTAAATATTTAATTATTGAATATCTTATTGTTATTTAAATGAATTCCTCCTTCCCCCAGTTTGAAGCAAACTTTCCGGAACTGGACCAGTAACTGTTGTGTCTTGAAAACGATGAAGCAAAAAAAAAACTTATTTAGAGAGTCGAAGGAAATGAAATTTAACTTTTTTAGAAATGGACTTCGAAAATTACTAAATATTAGAAACAAAAAAAAGAAAAAAAAAAACAACTCCAAACTAATCAAACAAAGTGCTAAATTTAAACAAAACAAAAAATCAAAATTATTGAGAGAAAATTATAAACAGAAAATAACACAAATCAAAAAAAAAATAAAAGATTTCGAAAATCTTAAATATTTAGAGAATAATGAATCCGATATTTTTTTATGTTGTGCCAAATTTAATTTTTGACTGCTATTTGTCGTTAATATTCTATATCATATTAAATTATAATTTATTAGACGTATACACAACTTAAATGATGGTTCACCATAAAACACGTTCAGTGTAAATGCGCCTTTTGACCCGTTAATGTGCCATTTTTATGCTAAATCCAATCGATCTCAAATGTCAATTCTATATCGTATACGTCAAATATAATCCACTGAAGTTGTGAACGTAAATACTATGGAATTGACATTTCAAATCGGGTGGATTTAGTAGTTTAACCCTTTCAGTGTTTTTGTGAATATATTCGACATTTAAAAATTCTCTCTTTCTTTGCGATTTTGCGGTTATCCTATGTACCGTTAGAATTGATGTTTTTGTTTTTGCGGAAAAACAGACGAAAAACAGACGAAAAAGACATGAAAGCGTAAATATAGCACATTAATGAGCGAAAAGGCGCATTTACACTATGATAAACCATCATTTAAGTTGTCACTTCCTTTGTCTATATATCAAATAAATTACGATTTACGTAAACGTGTTCGTTGTTAATCAGGCTAAAAGCTGCAAATATGCAACGTTTGCATACTATTTTTCCAAAATTAATGTTTCAACGTTTTTACGCTTACACCAAATTAAATGAATCATCATTTAATTTTCGTTTATGTTATTACTTCCTTTGTACGAATGCCAAATCAATAACGATTTCAGTTTCGAAACGATCGAACAAAATTGACCGAGATATTAGTGTTCAAAAGTAAGAACAAATTTTGTTATTTGTGAAAGCGATCTTCGTGTGTTTTAGTGGATACATTAATAAAATTGACTCGATTTCTAAATAGAGGTACTAAATCCTGACTGTCTATACTGATATTAGAATTATATGATACACTTTCCGCAGCCGGTCAGTATGTTCATAATTATAATATGAGTTTATCTTTATTTGGTGGAAAATATGTTTTTTCGCCTTATTCTTGACATCAATTCACCGTGAATTTGTTCGCTCCTCCCTCACACCTCAAGGTTATTCTGAACGAATTTTTTTTCGCATTTTCACTTTCCCCTTTAATCTGAATTAAGTTCGAAAGCGAAAAAAACGCATTGGGGAAAAATTAGTTATTCTGGATTACAAATAGTGGGAGAATGTGATGACATTTTGTGCGAAATTGTTCACAAATAAATTTTAAAGGAGCTGACTACAAAAATATTTAGTTTTAAATATTTTTATGGAAAATATCTACACCTTACTTGTTCTATGACGATTTTGAATATTATAAATGTTTGTATGCATATTTTAACTCAAAAACAGCAAATAAAATGTCATTGGAAATCCTATTGATAACGATGCATGTTCTACCAAATATTGCCACGGAATGTATAAAGGCAATAAGGAATATTTAAACCGAGTTTGATGCAATTTGGAGGCAAAACAAAGACATTGAAAGTGAAAAACTCAAATAATATTTATGAAAAAATAATAAAGCAACGAAAAAAATAATTTTTTTTAAATTTATCGTGTGCCGTATTGGAAGGACAAAATGAAGAAGTAGGGGTATATCATAAAAGAATTGGCCACTTAAAAATTTCGGGAGTTAAAATATCGAAATTAAATAAAAAGGCACATAATTATGTAGTGAAATAGTAAACTGCGAATTAATTGAATCCAATCGCATATTACTTCCCATTATTCGTTGTGTCTTTGACATTGTTCAATGCGCTTTTTGTCATCACCATAAAAAATGTTCTTTTATTTGTGATCTGTTATAGTTGTTGCACCAAATTGCATCAAAACATGAAACAACTGTTTCACATGCCATATGTATGTTGCCAAATTTTTCAAAATTTAATGTATTTTCAATTAATTACATAGCAGTTTTAAAGCGGATTCTTAATATTTCACATTTATATTGTTATGAAGTTTAAATAATAATGAAAAGTAAAATTTGTTTTAAAAAATCAATAAATAAAATAATGAAAATATTACAAAATTAAATTACAATGGGGCAACACACATTACAACTTAAATTACAGTATGGCAAAACAAATCTTTTTTCAACCACCGTTTTCGAAAATTCGGATCTGCATCTAGCATTTTTGGCTTCTCCATATTCATTCAGAATAAGGCGAGATTGTGAAAGTGAAACAATTTTCACAAGCGATATCTCCCCCTAGCGAATATCCAGAATAAGGCTGATAGATTTGTCCATAAGCGATAGCTTTTTTAATTATTTGGGGTTGATGTTAAAAAACGAACATTGTTTGATTAATGTTGTTAATAAGAGAGAGCTGAGGGGAATGACAACCCTTGAGAGCAATTCCTATCAAAATTATGAAAATATTGAATGAAAATTTTTCACAAAGATCATGAAAATAGTGACAAATCAACTTAATATAATTGTAACACTATTCTGAACAGCTAGGATTTTGTACCTAATCGATTTAGAAGGCATAGTCTAAGAGCGAGTTTAGACTACTAAATCCTCTCGATTTCAAATTTCAATTCCATAGCGTATACGTCACGCTTATCCTATTCACAAATCTAGTGGATTAGATTTGACCTATACAATATCGGAATCGAGTGGATTTCGTAGATCTAAAGTACTATAAGCGCGCCTTATGCCTAGATTTACGATATCCAGTCGACATCATATGTCAATTCTATTGCGTATAAGTCAAATATACGCTTTGAGATTGACAATGAAATCGAGTGCATTTCTAAGTCTAAACGCGCCTTTAGGGTGTATTTTAGGATATCAATAATCGAAATGTTTTATAAGGTACAGCCTAAACGCGCTTTAACCATTCGGAATCACTGTATTATGATGTAATGAAACAAATCTTCTAGTTCCAATTATGAAAAACTATTTCTAATTAATAATAGAATTATAAAACATCAAAATAGTATATTAAAATATAAGTAAAAATATAAAAAAATACATAATTGTTATAGAAAACCTATACAACCAAATGATTAACATAATATTCCTATATACACACACAATACTCTAAAAAATATATAAATATAAACAATATTAAATAACTTTATCTTTTTAGATATACAATTATAATATATATTTGAAATAAAATATATTATTGAAATAAAATAAATTGAAAACCCTATACATACATAAATTATACCAAATAAAAATACTGAATTGACTTGTCAAAATTACAGAGAATAACAACAATCAAGGAACGAGAAAACTTCCAAAAAATAACTAACAGTTTATTCAGGATGTGTGGTCCTCTTATGGAAAATAGGAAATATGAATATAAGGTACACAGCATACTAGATATATATAAATTAAATACCAGTATATACATACATATATAACAAATAAATGAACAACAAATTAAATTAATTAAAATAGTATGTCATATAACAATAACTACTACTACCACTACACACACTATGCATATTATATATAAATAAAATAAAATTATTTCCTTGCCATGCATACATATATACACATAATATATATTTAAGTAAATATACATATTTATTTAACAAGCCACAAACTCAGAAAAATACCGAGCAACAACAAATAAAATGTATTAAACACTTAAAAAACGTGTTTTATTTAAATATATTATAACAAAGTATTTGAAATTCTGTATATACGAACGGAAGGGAGACTTTATAGACGAGCAGGAGGATGTATTTATAGTCGAGATGTGATTACTAGTAAAATCTATATTTATAAATACCATTACCAAATAAAATAAAACACATAGCTTTTATTTTGAGTTAATCAATTATCACAAGGATTTCGTATATAACCAGAAATCACAACCTCGAATCTAAAATTTGGTCCTTTATGTTCCTTTCCATAAATCCGATAGGGACATTACTTCTTACTGAGTAATTTGCTTTAAATATCTCTTTCAATACACTCTCATTTGTTAAATTTTTTAAATAAATATGATTCAATAAAACCATTTTTCAGATAAGCCCTACTTTATTCTGATAGCGCCAGAGATTTTTTCTTCAAAATCTTTAAATCATAAATATTTTATTATTAAATATTTATTTTTGAAAAAAGTTTTAGCATGAAGCTAGCAGCGTAATAATAACAACTTTTCTTTGAAATAATTGTAAGAAGGCAGTTTATTTTTTTTAACGCATATTCATGTGTGTACATCCAACTGTTATTTCCCAAATGTAACATTTTGGCTTTCATAAATGCATTGAAATCTCCATTAATACACAATGTAAAAAAATTAAATAAACAACAGAAAAAATAGTGATCCCTATTTAACAAGGATAACGAAATACGAGGAGAGCTTAGTGGCATGAGTTAAATTTATGAGCCATGGTATGAGATTTAGGATTTAGTTTTAGCAGCTTCGCGTTCCAGTGCTCTTTGTTTTGCTTTCTCATAGATTGGCATTAATTGACCACGTTCGCCCAACATTTTCAATAGCTCTACTATAAATGGTAGATAATTGTGTTTCCGCCTAATATTCTCTATACGATAACGTTTGCGTTTCTCCACCTCATTGTCGATCAACGAACGTAGTTTTGCAATTTCAGTCTCACGGTCATCAGTCTCCATGGCTTCGCCACTTCCACCGCTCAATAATTTATCAATTTGTTGTTGATAGATTTTTTGCCGATCAGATACTATAGCCATGAGATTGAAGTGAATTTCTCCTTCGCTATATTTATTCATTCTCTTTTCAATAATTGGCCGAACAACATCAATCCAGTTTTGTCCATCAGCAATGGCACCTAAATCAATGGGCCCCTCCTTTAAACCGTCCAATTCATAAAGACGTCCTTCGATAGGCACATAACCAATAAAATGATAGACATCCTCATCTTTGTTTTGATTCTTTGAATCCAATTCGAAGAGGGTTTGGCGGGCGAAGCTGTTATGTACGGTTCTAATTTGCGAGGCATTGCTCAAAGTCAATCCCTTATTATATGGATCAAAAAACTGGCAAAATTCTTTGAAGTTGGTTAACGTCTCTCCAAGCTTGATATCATCATGTTTACAGTTAAGTAGGACACTAAGGATAGCTTGTGTAGCACAAGCGTTGTTAATAACTTGCTTGGCAAAGAAAATGTTTTGCAAGCGATCGTCCTTGACGATGCTTCCTGCCGGTTCATCGTCCTGCACCCACTTGAAGAGAAATATAAGACCATGGATGGGTTCCAAGCTTTTAAATGATTCGGCATCTAAAGACCAAATTTCCTCAACTTGAGCGCCCTCCACCCCTACGAACACAAGAAACATAATTAACTATCAACGGAAGGACGCCAAACCGGCAACAATGCACTGCATCTTACCAAATTCCTTAATGAGTTCGGTAAATACACCAGGATCACTTTCGATTAAACACCAATTGCCAGCGCCTTCCATTGTTTCTACACAGCGTATGTGATACTCAGAATAGTTTGAACAATAAAGCGAATACAAATCACCTTCCCTTTCAAAAATTTGCAAAATCACAATTGCACTAGAGTTGTGTCGTTCCGGAACGAACTAGTTCAAAGTAATGACTTCGTGAAATGAATGATCGGAACAATTCACACTGAATTCGTTTGTTTCGCTGCTTTAGTTCACCTAGTTCACTTCAATTTTGTACAAGGTAGATTTTCATTCGTTTGTTTCGCTGCTTTTCATGAGTTCAGACACTTGGTCTGTTCCCGTAAAGCAAGAATCAACTAGATTTTACTAATTTCTTCGATATCACAAAGGAAAATTCGTTATCGTAATAAAAATTAGTAGATTCCTGCAGTACGGGAACAGATCAACTATTTTTAAATCGATTCGATTTGCAAATCGAGTAGCTAAAGGAGATGTTGATTTTAATATAATATTCTCGGTGAAAATCTGCTCGAAAACCAAAGTAATTTTGTTTGGCAACTCTGTCATGCGTTAACACTTCAAATGTTAAACAATTGGTCTGTTCCAGTACTTTTTTAATAGTAAAGATAGTAAAAGGAGACATTTCAAAATCGCTCTCAGAGTACAAAATAATTTGAAAAGTTCGAAACGCAAATCTAGTAAATATGCCAACATTTTATGGCAATACTTCAATATCAACAAACCAACCAATCAGAAGTAGGCATTCCTGTTTACAAATTTTACTCGGCCAAATTTCTCGAGTAAAAAGTTTACAATGAGAACGCAATTTTTCTTTTTTTGTGCTCTCTTAAATTTGATTCAATGTTTTATCAGTTTTGTGGTTGAAGGAGTAAAAAGTTGAAAAATTGTGTAAAATTAGTATATTATTTTAGATTCTGGAACGGAACTAATGTGAAACATCTTTTGGCTGAACTCCATAACGCGCATTGACTCGCGTCAAAAAAGTCCGCTTTTCCACAGGCAGATTTTTATTTAGAAAATTTTTTGTTTTCTCCTTTGAAATTTTTGCTTGCTTTTCCATTAGTAAATTTTTCTTTGCCAAATTTGCGAATCAAACTACAAAAGAAAGAGAAAAACGTCAAAAGCGTTTGCTTTTTAAAGAATTTTTTAATATTTTATTTTTTATATATTACGATTATTTATATAACTTTACTTTGCACTTTAAAAATTAAAAATTGCAACACACAACTTACATTGAGTAAACAATTTAGAAAAATCTATACAGTAGTTGTTGTTGTGAAGTTATTCGAATAAACTGCGTAGTAGAAATTTACGTTACAATTCAAATTCTTAAATTGACGGAATTTATCTAAATTAATCTTAAATTAAAGCACAAATTATTGCAAAAATTAAAAATTAAAACTTGCACAACAGGTTTGTAAACAAAAGCCGGCTATGTGTCAGTAAAACGAATAGGTTAAAAAGGAAATATCAACAAAATTGTATTCAACGAACAGAGCAAAGCAGAATTTGCGTGTACCGCAAATTCTGAACAGGCAAAGTTTTGTTTTTCTTCCTCGCACCCCTCTCGCCAACAAATACAGTGTTTGCCAAATAAAAATTTGCCTGTGGAAAAGCAGACTTATGACCTTTGTATGTTGGTGTACAAAAAAATGCCTGCAATTATTCGGGCAATATTAAAAAATCAGTCAAAAACTCAAATAAAATAGAAAATTAATTAGCTATGTGAAACTAACCCCTTGTTTGTGAACGATTAGCTAACGCACGTTTCATTACAATGCTTAACATAAAACCACGCGTCCTTTCTGCTTAGCCCTTTAATTGTGCATTGGTATGGTCTTGTACTCAAATAGTTATAAAACCTTTTAAATTTTTGCAAAGGAAAATCCATGGTACAATTATAAAAGGTAACAGCAAGTCCTAGCTGATTTGATTCCAACGTAATACTAGTGTCAATATGAATTTGACAAATTATGTTTTTAAAAATCACCCAACAGGAAAATTGCTAACGCATACAATTTGTAATTGTTCTTTATTAAATGTGCTCCCGTATTCAACTTACTCAATTTGCCTGCTGGGAAAGTTTGAGGAAGCAAATCTTTCTTCAAGGAACAACTCGTTATTCCCTGCATTTTCATATGTGTTACACATATATATGGCAATGGCTCAACTATAGGAATGATGTGGAAGCGATGGAAATATAAATTCTGGTGATCCTTGGTGATTTGCTCTGTCGCTGGTAATAAACACCTAAAATAAAGAAACCAGTAAAGAATATATTTAATCGTTGGAAACCAGGTAAAAGAATATTAATATAATACGTACCGATTGAAGATAATGCTGGAATAATGAAAGTGCCCGTTTCCCTATGCAAATGAGAAAACCTGAAATGATAAAAAAAGATGAAAAAACGTTAATATAAATTTTACAAAAAAATAAGACACAAAAAACTATAAAAAAGATAAAAAAATATAATTAAAAAAAAGAAAAGAATATATGTTAGTATTAAGTTGTGAATGTTAGTAGTTAGTTTAGAATTAAGAATTTAAATGATTTATATTTTGTGAGGATTTTTAACCCCTTTTAATTACTGGTGAGCTAGATTACCACATTTCTACGTGGAGCAAGAATTTAGTAATTTTGCGGACGCAATTTAACCGCAGACGTCACCACTAATAGAGCTCTCTTAGGTAGGTGTAGTTGTCTAAGGTAGCCTAAATTTGGCAGAGTAACATGCCCAACGCTAAGTGTTGGTAATCTACGAATTGATTCACACTGAGAGAAAAGGAGTTAGGAGTTCATGAATTGACATAATTTTTTTTCATGTTTTATGTTAGATTAAGGTCCAAAAAAATGTCAATAAATGATTTTTATGTTTGATTTTATGTTATTAGAAATTATGTTGTGTTAAGTTTTCTTTGTGAGAGAGGGAATTAGGTGTAAGTTTTCGTGAGGTAAGTGTGTGTGGAATTTGGGGCCCTTTTAAATATAAAAATTCGTTAAATGGACTAAAGGGTCAAGGATGGGCGGGCATAGTGGAGGAGCACTAAACCAAGCTCCTTCGTCATAGGTGTATGTTGTGTTTGTTTATGTTTTTGTGTTTTGTATGATCCAAAAATTTCTAGTTGTTCGTTCCCTAGGGTTGATGGTGGCAAGGGTTGAGAACTCCCCTGATCGAAAAGTGTTCCCAACTGAGCTAGTGCGAACCCCGCCATAACGCCGCATTAGGTCTAGAACGTAACAATATGGCGCCCAAAATAATTCAAAAAAAATCAGCATCCGAAGCACCGTACCTCAATATGGCGCCTAGGATGACAACTCAAATATGTGCAATAAAACCTAAGCACTGTGCAATAGCCTATAGGGGGCAATAGATTAAAATGAAAGATCGCATTTTTAATTAGCTAACGGATATTGCATCCACTTTTTAGATTTAGAATAAACTGTGATAAATGTGCAATATTTAGTTTAGAGAATTAAAAATTAGGATATTTCATTCCATCATTAGGGTCAAGTGCAATAGCTTTTTGTTCGTTAAGTGTAACAAAGATTGTATTGTCTTATGACCTGTGTTTTATGTGTTTCTGTTTGTTTTTAAAGTAGCAGCAATAGGATTTAGGTTAGCAGTGGACGAAATTGCAATATCTGCTATGACTATGAGAGCCATAGACTGTATTGACGATCTAGTCCGTAAATGAGATCTCTTTTCTTCGATGCGTTAGAAAACTGCCATACTGCTACCCAAAACGGAAATTATGTCCATTTAAATGTTTGTAAATGTCCAATATATTTAATCAATACATCATGACGACCTAATAAGGCCACTTTATGATGAAAATGTTTTTTGTTTACAAATAAACAATACCCCACACACAATCTCACGTTAGCTGAAAATACTCCTAGGACCTCTCGTTTTGTTTAAAAATATTTGTTTATCTCTTTTGTGTTGTCTAATTGTTTTTACCCTTATATTTTTTTTTATTTTTTGTGTAACCTATATATTTTAAATTTTGTTTAACCTTTATAATTTAAATTTAATTATTCTTTAACGATTACGTAGATTAAGTGTTTATCTCTTTATGTTTTTTTATTGTTTTTACTATCAAAAAAAAAAATATATATAAAAATATCACAAATTTTAATATTGCTATCTAATGAGCACAAGTAACGCCGGTAAAAGTCGAAGAAAGAGAAATAGATCGCTTGTGTTCGATCTTAGTAGAACGTCTATTTCTTCTCCAAAGCCCAAAACTAAGAAAAAAGAAAAAGCTACAAAAATGTCTAATGTCAAAAATAGCGCCGACCCAGCTGTTCATAAAAATATGAACATGAATCTTTCTTTTATCTTGTCTAGCTTAGAAGAAGTAATAAAATAATTAAGTGTCTTAGATAATAAATTGTAATGTAGATCTGTCATAAATGTTATTGCTTATTTGCTATGAATTTTAAGATAGAATTTTCAATGTTATCAATTTCCAAGAAGTCATTAAATCCATATGTGGTTTTCCCAGCCATTAAATCCATATGTGAGTTTCCCAGCCATTAAATCCATATGTGTAATCTTCATTGATCATGTACACTGGTGCATACGATAAGTTTTATGATAATAAAGGTTGTGACCCACGCACGCACTTATCTATGCACACAGTAGGTAGAGAAGGTCACTGGATTAAGAAGGAAGAGATAAGAATTATTATTAGGTTGCATTAGGCTAAGCTCGAATAACATATGTAGCTCTTAAGGACAATATTTTTTAAATAAAATCAGTACTCAACCAACATCCAAGCCGGCAACATCTTTTATTAATACGCGCGTAAACAGTGGTCCTTCGAAAGAGAAAAAAAGAATCAGTGACCGGAAAAGTGTGCACATAAAAAAAAAAAAAAAAAAAAAATCTAATTTAAGAAAGAATTCTATTTGAAAAAATAATTGTGAAAGCCACATTGAAAAGAATATTACCAAAAAAAATATATATATATATAATTTAAGAAAGAATTCTATTTGAAAAAATAATTGTGAAAGTTACAGTGAAAAGAATATTATACAAAAAAAAAAAAACAGAAAATAGTGACGAATTAAGAAACAAGGATATTATCCAATAGAAAAAAAATATTATAGTGAAAAAAAAATTCATAAAATTAAAAAGCCAAAGAGGCTAAGAAATTAGAATATATACAGAATATAGCGGAAAATTGGAAAGGTAAAACTATTAAAGAATAATAAACTGTAGAAAGAGAAATTAGTCAACAAGACTTTAAGACGAAATAAATTTAAGAAAACCGAGAGGCCTAAAGGCAAATATTAAAGTAAACCAATTATTAATCCAAAGAAGCAAATAAAAATGTCAGCAGAAAGATATACCTTATATAAAACCCAAAATCAAATCCTCAAGGAAATATTAGAGATTTCAGAGAAGCTGAAATCGGGAACGACTAGGAAGGTTGCTTTAGAAGCAAATTCAAAGTCGCTGGAGAACAAAATGCAGGAAGCCAGGACAAATCAAGCGAAATTAGAATTATATGTACAAAAAGATGAGCCATATTTTAAAGAGAACATATGGGGCAGAATTGAGAGCTATTACAAAGAATGCAAGGAGCTAATACAAAAAATTAAAGATGAACCCGAAAAGCCAGAGATGGGAATAGTGGAACAGGGCCGTCGGAAAGTAGAAGCGCTCGAAAATCTTGGGGCAGTAAAGAACATCGAGAATAACAATGAGGCAATGGAGCAACAATTTCGAGCGTTACAGGAGAGTATGCTAAGCCAGTTCAAATTGCAGCAGGAACAATGGCAAAAACAACAAGAGCAAATGAAGATACAACAGGAACAAATGCAGAAATCTATACAAGAGCAAATGAGGCAGATGCTGCAGTTTCAACATCCATATGGAAAGAATAAAGAAGGCGAAGAAGGAGATGGAAAACTAACCATTGTAACCACTTATGCTAGCAGTGATAAGAAAAATGCAGTGCTTTCCCAATTCAGAAGAAAGATCCTGAAGCTTTCAGGCTCCATAGAAGAAGATATTTCAGGAGTAAGTAAATATGCTCTGGAAAATATGAAGGTTTCATGGGAAAAGCAATTCGACGACATAAAACGACTGCATTTAGAATTAACAACAGAACATGGAATGGAAGAAGTGGATGATGAATTGGAAGATATTGAAAGGAAAATGAATACGAAAATAAATAATATTATTTTAAAGATAGGTGGCCTAAAAGAAGAATCTCAGGCAGTGGAGTTAAAAAGAATACAGATTCCATGTTTCAATGGAAATATGGAGGAATGGAGTTCCTTCCACGATTTATTTAAGAAATTGGTTGATAGGAACGCTCAACTATCCGAGGTACAAAAGTTATACTACCTCAAAACTAATCTGAGAGGAGAGGCGTTTCGTTTGGTGCAACATTTGCAAGTGACAGACGCAAACTACAAAGCAGCGTGGGAACTATTAGAAAAACGCTATGACAACAAACGAATTTTATTCACGAAATTGATTGATAAAATTTTGGATCACCCGAATATAAACAGCCTATCTGCAGCAAGCATACGAAATTTGGTAGATAGCGTTAACGAAAGCATACATGCGTTGAGAGCAATGGGTATACCGTTGGAACATGCGGACCCTATAATAGCCAGAATAATAATAAGGAAATTGGATAAAGATGGACTCATTCAATATGAGCAGAACGTCAAAAAATCAAAGGAGATCCAAAAACTTGAAGATGTAATGGACTTCTTAGAACAGCAATACCAGGCCTTGGAAGCATCAACGAGCAAAAAATATGCTGTTTCAGCAACGTATAAAAATCAAGATAAATCCGGAGGGTTGGAAAAGAGGCAATGCAGGTTTTGTAAGCTGATTGGACATGAAGTTGTGGCTTGTAGAAAATTTGCGGCACAACCGGCAAACGATAGATTTAGTTGGGTGAAAGCGGCCCAAATGTGCCTCAGATGTATTAAGCACTCAAAAGACAAAAGATGCCTGAGTGATTCCAAATGCCAGAAGTGTGGATTACAGCATAACACATTAGTCCACTTGGAAAAAACAAGCAACACAAAATCCATGACCACACATGCAACAACAAATGTTCTTCTTGCTACAGCTCAAGTTCGAGTCAAATCTTGGTATGGAGAATATATCACTTTAAGAGCCTTGATAGATCAAGGATCACAGATAACTTCTGTATCCGAAGATGCGGCGCAGTTGCTACAATTACCAAGATCAAGGACTGAGGTGAGATTACGAGGTCTAGGAGATACCATGGTGGGCGTTGCGAAATCTAAAGTATTGCTGAAGATAAGGCCGAGATTTTTCAGCAACAATAAAATTATAACGGAAGCACTAGTCTTGCCGAAATTAGCATCAGCTCATCCTGACAACAATTTCCATTACGACTTGGAGAAATGGAAAAACATAACTCTAGCAGATCCAAATTTTTATAATTCTGAAAGAATCGATCTGGTAATTGGAGCGGACCTTTTCCAACAAATATTGGAAGAAGGTGTTCGCCATGAAGAGAAGATAGTGGCACAAAATACAAAACTAGGATGGATTCTTTCCGGAATAATTCAGATGAAATTCGGAGGAAATAACGTGAGATCAGCTGCGACGACGACAATAGAACGGTTTTGGGAAATAGAAGAGATTGAAGATGAAGAAACGATAGCAGAAGATGATTACTGTCTAAAACTATATGAGGAAACAACACGAGTCGATCAAGCTGGAAGATTTGTAGTGCGATTGCCATTTGCTGAAGACAGACGTTTGGGAGAATCATATAAAAGAGCAATGGCGAGATTTTTAAGTCTAGAGAAAAGATTAGAAGGATGTCCGAAATTGAAAGCAGAATACATAAAAACAATAGATAATCTAATTACAACTAAACACATGGTGAAAGTAGAAAAGAGAAAACAAGGAAAATATTATATGCCGCATCAAGCAGTGATACGTGAAACCAGCTTAACCACAAAAGTAAGAGTGGTGTTTGATGCATCGTCGAAAACATCAAATGGAAAGTCGCTGAATGACATTATGCATACAGGTCCAAAGTTGCAAAAGGACATATTTGATATTATTACCAAATGGAGAACTTGGAGATTTGTCATATCAGCCGATGTAGAAAAAATGTTTAGACAAATAAACATAGACAAAGAAGATCAAGAATACCAATATGTCCTGTGGAGAAATAACAAGAGCGAGCCAGTGCAACAATTCAAACTCACCACAGTGACATATGGCACCGCATCAGCACCGTTTTTGGCAGTAAGGACGCTGATAGAAATTGCAAATCGATGTGAGAATCAAGATATAGCCAAAAGAATAAAAGAAGATTTCTACATGGACGATTTACTTACAGGAGCGAATTCAAAACTAGAATGTATGGAAGTACAAGAGAATATAGCTCAACAACTGGAAATGTATGGGTTCCATTTAAGAAAATGGATAGCAAATTCTTCGGATATATTGAGAGCTGTAAATCGGGCTGAAGAAAATGAAGTATTGCAAATTCAAGAAGATAACTGCTTGAAAACGCTAGGATTGCAATGGAGTCCACTGATGGATTGCTTTACATTCAGTATGGAAGTAAAACAGGAAGACAAGGTGACCAAACGAATGGCGTTATCAAGTCTAGCGAAAATATTTGATCCACTGGGTTGGCTGACACCAGTAACCATAACAGCAAAACTATTTATTCAGCAGTTATGGATCCAGCAATTAGATTGGGATATACCGTTGAATGGAAAATTGAGTGATGACTGGAAGAAATTTGCGTATAGTCTCCACGTAATTAAGAACGTGAAGATACCAAGATGGTTTCAAATAGCACCAGTCAGTGGAGTAGAGCTACACGGGTTTGCTGATGCGTCCGAAAAGGCATATGCGGCAGTAGTTTATCTAAAAGTGGATTCTCAAATTGCAATCGTGGCTGCGAAGAGCAAAGTTAATCCTATTAAAAATACCAAGACCCTCCCAAAATTGGAACTAAGTGCTGCCCACCTCTTGGCGAAACTGCTACAAAAAATAAAAAAAGTATTATCATCAGCGGCGGCAATTTATGCTTGGAGTGATTCCATGATTACGTTGGCATGGATAAACAACCCAAAAAATAAAGATAAATTTATTAGAAACAGAGTAGTGGAAATTATGGAACGAATCCCTAAAGCGAAATGGGCTTACGTTAGATCAAAAGAAAATCCAGCTGACTTAGGCTCCAGAGGCGTTGCTCCTGAGATTTTGGCCAACTGTCAATTATGGTGGAAAGGGCCGGAATGGCTGATAAAAAATGAAAATGAATGGCCCAAGTTAAATCCGTCAGTAGTGGCAGCAACGACAAAAATTGCGGCAGTAGAAAAAAGCGTCTATGAGCAACTTATGAAGTTGTCATCATTTAAAAAGCAGTTACGAGTCATGGCTTATATTCTACGATTTATTAAAAAACTGAGAGGAAATAAGGTAAAAGGTGAGCACTTAACTGCGGAAGAAATAGAAGAGGCCGAAATTGCTTTAATCAAAATGCACCAAGAAATTGAATGGCCGGCGGAAATTAGTCAGCTAAAAACTTCAGGAGCAATAAATCATCGAAGCAATATAGCATCATTGCATCCGCAGCTCGACGAATATGGGGTTATGCGAGTAGGAGGAAGACTGGGTTGGTCAGAGCTAACCTATAACGAAAAGCATCCAATACTGATTCAAAAATCACGATTAGCTGCGAATATTATAAGGAGAGCTCATATGGAAACATTGCATGGAGGAAATCGGCTGATGGAAAATGTTTTAAGGCGCAAATATTGGATAATCGGAGCCAAAAATAGAATAAAACTCTGCGTCAGGTGCTGTCCACGATGTACGCGCTATAGGGGAGAAGTACGAAATCAGTTAATGGGAAATCTACCAAGGAGTAGAGTGAATATAAGTCAACCCTTTCAACATTGCGGAATAGACTACGCGGGTCCGTTTCAAATACGATGTTCGAAAACGAGAGGAACCAAGTCTATGAAGGGTTACGTAGCAGTATTTGTGTGCATGGTGACGAAAGCGGTGCATTTAGAGGCAGTTAGCGAGCTTACGGCAGAAGCATTTTTAGCAGCGCTGAGAAGATTCATCGCAAGGAGAGGAAAATCAACCGATTTATATTCCGACAACGGAACGAACTTTGTCGGGGCATCAAGGCAGCTAGATAAAGATTATATAGAGGCGATAAAAAGCAACAATACGTTAGCGCCAATTCTGGAGAATGAACAAATAAAATGGCATTTTATCCCCCCGGCAGCTCCTCACTTCGGAGGAATTTGGGAAGCTGCAGTTAAGTCAATGAAATACCATCTTAAAAGAATCATTGGCGAGATAAAATTAACGTATGAAGAGATAAGCACGGTTCTAGCTCAAATTGAAGCAGTTTTAAACTCAAGGCCGTTGCATGATCTTGGAAGCGGCACAGACTATATCGACACCTTAACGCCAGGGCATTTCATAGTTGGACGCCCGTTATTAGAAGCTCCGGCGAAGATCGATGAAGGAAGTTTAGCATGTGTGAGCAGGTGGAAACTGCTGCTACGAATAAAAAACCACTTTTGGAGAAAGTGGAAAGAAGAATATTTGACTACTTTGCAAAATCGCCCAAAATGGAGAAAAGAAGATCGCAATCTGGAAGTGGGACAGATCGTGCTGATCAGAAATGAAGAGACTCACCCAGCTCGTTGGCCATTGGCGAGAGTGACTGAGGTACAACCGGGCAAAGATGGAATAGTGAGAGTAGTTACGTTGAAAACACAAAATGGAGAAATAAAAAGACCAGTACATAAATTATGTCCATTAGAGCACGAAGATGAGAGACCTGAAGAGGAGAAGGTAGAAGATACGCTGAAAAAGGAGGTCGAAGTGAACTCAACAAAGAAGTTACCAAGATTAACAGCAAATTCCTTTATGATATGGACTATGATGATAAATCTTTGTCTGATTATGACGACTAAGGCCTCATCAGTAAAAGAATTAAATAGTTCGACGGCAATATATCTTGATCCAATCTCTCAAATCCACATGGCCTCGTCTTCATGGAACATGGTTGTATATTTTGAAATGAAAACGTACTTAGAAACACTGGATCTTGCATCCACATTGCTCAACGCCTCTAAAGAAATATGTCCAAGGCTCCAAACATTTGAAGACCAGTGCTGGTCGGTAATAAACAATATGGAATATAAAGTAAACAAAATCAAGGCGAATAATCGGCTTTTCATGAGGGATGATAAACGGCAAAGAAGAGGAGCCCCATTGAAGTTCATAGGGTCTTTTCAACATTGGGCATTTGGTGTGATGGACGACGATGATCGTGTGGCGATGGAAAATAATATGAGAAATCTGTTAGCCAACCAGTACGACTTAAAAGAATTGTCAAAAAAGCAGACATCGATAGTTGATTCCACGGTCAATCTGCTAAAAAGAACAACGGAGGAAGTCAATTCGCACTTTGTGGAGATAAAGTGCAAAATTGATAACATAACCGCCACCATGAACGAAACTTACTTCGTTTATAGAGAATCTATTCGTTTCTTTATTATAACTAAAGAAATCCATGAATACATAGACGAATGTGACGATGTGCTAAAGGAAGTCATTAACCTGTTACTGGACATTAATAATGGTCATATACACCCTGTGCTCATCAGTCCGGAGAAATTGCAGTCGGAAATATTTAAAATTCGAAATGAGCTACCCACGAAATATGTTTTACCCGGAAAATCTTCTGGTACAGAACTTAAGGAGGTTTTACATTTGATGAGGGGACGTGGAATGTACATCGGCACACAATTGGTGATCGACTTGAAGATACCTCTTTTCAACAGACAGTCGTCGCAGTTCTATAGAGTAATCCCGATTCCATTTGAACATGACGGTGCGGTATTGATAGCAAGGATAAGGTCGCCATACATCGTGTACAATTTTGAATTGGATTCGTTCCACTATCTGACACAAGTCATGTTGAACGAATGTAAAAACACATTGGGAGATGAAATTGTATGCGAAGAAAATTTTCCCTGGCGAGATGCGTCGACCAACAATTGCGAACTGTCACCCCTGAGGCCGCGCATCGAGATAAACTGCACGTACGATGAAGTTGAAAACAGTCCCTATTGGATACAGCTGAGGCAAAAGGGAAATTGGCTTTTTAAGACGTTTAAGAATGCAACGGCTCATATTAAGTGTTCCGAAAAGCAGCAATCCATCATAGAACTTCCACAACAAGGTATTCTAGCCCTTGATACAGATTGCACGGCTAGAATTGACAAAGTGACTCTAGTGGCGGTCCATCAGGTAAGAAATGAAATGTCAACTCAATTTCACTCTATTCTTTTAAAGGACGTCAGTGAAGCCGACAAAGAAGCCATAAAACCCCTTGGAAACGTATTGGTGAAACATCACAATGAGATCAGCCAGCTAAAGACGCTCGTGGACGATTTGAAGAAGCAGAAACTAAATTTAAGAGGTTTAGAATTTCATAATTGGTCTGGTCACATGTCATTTATTTTAGTTACCATAGTAGTTATAATGTTGCTAACTCAGTTTATAAGGAAAATTATAATAAGGAGACGGATAGCAGCAATTCAGTTCCAAGGAAGGCCGAATGTTTAATAAAGTATCTGCCGGCCGGGAGAATGTTCATAAAAATATGAACATGAATCTTTCTTTTATCTTGTCTAGCTTAGAAGAAGTAATAAAATAATTAAGTGTCTTAGATAATAAATTGTAATGTAGATCTGTCATAAATGTTATTGCTTATTTGCTATGAATTTTAAGATAGAATTTTCAATGTTATCAATTTCCAAGAAGTCATTAAATCCATATGTGGTTTTCCCAGCCATTAAATCCATATGTGAGTTTCCCAGCCATTAAATCCATATGTGTAATCTTCATTGATCATGTACACTGGTGCATACGATAAGTTTTATGATAATAAAGGTTGTGACCCACGCACGCACTTATCTATGCACACAGTAGGTAGAGAAGGTCACTGGATTAAGAAGGAAGAGATAAGAATTATTATTAGGTTGCATTAGGCTAAGCTCGAATAACATATGTAGCTCTTAAGGACAATATTTTTTAAATAAAATCAGTACTCAACCAACATCCAAGCCGGCAACATCTTTTATTAATACGCGCGTAAACACCAGCAATAAGGGATTTATCGGGTTCTATAAACAACCCTAAACCTAGCACTAGCGCTGCCTCTGGCGTTTTGCATCCAAATGTCCCAAATCCTAATATTCCAAAATCTAATATACAACATCATAATCCACAACCTACTCATCCAATCGAAGTTGACCAACTGGTAAGAAGTTTGGTCCAGGATAGTTTAAACCACGCGCAGGCTAACCTACAATCTATGGTTCAGCAAAGTGTGACCAAAGAAATGGAAAAAGTCTACACTGTCCTTGATAAGTTGAACGATACTGTGGCCAGATTGTCACTAAATACACACCATGAATCGCAACCTCCAACAACACAGCCTACCCAAAATCCAATGCGTCCATCTCCAACTCCAAGTAGGGAAAATGAACCGAGGTTAGGTAGAAGCCACACCATTACGCCATCTTTCGTGAGCACCCATAGTTGCCAAGGTATAAAAATAGAAAGGTTTGGCCTAAACTTCTCTGGTAGACCCAATACATTGTCTGTAGAAGATTTTATATATAGACTAGAGCACTTTCAAAAACTATATAATTTGGATTGGAAAGATATCCTTAACGAATTCCATATGATAGTTTCAGGGCCAGCAAACGAATGGTTTTGGTTAGAACAGATGAACCACAATATATCCAGTTGGGAATCGCTGAAACACGCCTTATGCGAACGTTTCAAAGTAAAAAGAACATGCTTTGAAGAAATGCGTGATTTACTAGAACGCAAACAAATGCCTGGAGAGTCAATTGACTCATTTTTTCATGACTTGAACTCGATGAGGTCGAAATTGGAAAGACCAGTATCCGAATACGAGATGATTTCCCTCGCAAAAAAGAATTTGAGAAAAAATTTAGCAGGAATAGTTTATTCAATGCAAGTATCTTCTCTAGAGCAGTTGAGGATACAATGTTTAGAAGTAGAAAAGACGTTTTTCCGACGTGAATTCACTCCTACACCTACTCCTATAAATAATAGACCAGTACGCGTTAATGCTATGCAAGAAATAAGCGATGTAGAAACTTATGAGGTGATGCCAGATCCCGAAGAAGTGGTAGACGTTTCTGCAATTAAGGCACAATTAATATGTTGGAACTGTCTAACTCCTGGGCATGGGTTCAGAGATTGCCTTTCTTCTCAGAGAAACCTATTCTGTTTCAAATGTGGCAAACCGAACACCATAACCCCAAAATGTACAAATTGTAGGTCGGGAAACCCGAAGAAGAACCTGGTTGCAGCGGGAAACCACCGTTCTGTCGAACAGCCCGCAGACCCGAACCCTCAACTAACTCAGAATGTCAACTAAACCAGGAGAGAGAATATAACAAACTACGTCATTATTTGCCACTGAAAGAAAGGGAACAAAATTATGACAAAGTTAGGGCTAGAATTTTCTCCGAACAACCCGAAACAGATAAAAGTCAAGACCAAAATTCACATGCCAACAACAAATCAGCAAAATCATTCAATAATACAAATAGAATTTTGAAGTTAAGGCAGAAGCAAAAACAAAACAAAATATTAAAAAAATCACTGTCTGAGGCGGTCGTAAGATCCCAGCATAGTACCGATTTAAGACCTTATGCCAATATTAAAATAGAAGGTAAGGAGATTAAAGGCTTACTAGACTCTGGTGCTACAGTCAGCCTATTGGGAAAATCATGTAGAGAAACGGTTGAAGATTTGGGAATCCAAATAAAAAACTATATCTCTAATGTAACTACCGCATCTGGTCAAAGACACCGTATATTAGGAGTAATCGAAGTAGATGTAGAGTACCAGAATAAAATAGGCAAAATGAAATTTTTCTTGTGTCCTGATTTGGAGCAAGAGTTATATCTAGGGATCGACTTTTGGAAAATCTTCGGAATTGCACCCGAACTCTTCCCTGTAGAGGAAATAAGCTTAGATATCCAGAAGCAAATTCATGGCTCAACAACTAATGAAAACAGTAACATGCATGTGTTAACTGAAGACCAGCAGGAAAGATTAAACGAAATCGTCAACAAATTTCCATCGTTTGAAAAGAATGGATTAGGATGTACCCATTTGGAGAAGCATTCCATAAAATTAGTCGAAGGAGCAAACCCAGTCAAGGATCGACATTATCCTCTTTCGCCGGCAGTACAAGACATTGTTTACAAGGAAATTGATAATATGCTAAAATTAAATGTTATAGAAGAGAGCGACTCGCCGTGGAGCAACAGGACCACAGTCGTAAGAAAACCTGGCAAAAACCGATTCTGCTTAGATGCAAGGAAATTAAACGCATTGACCATCAAGGATGCTTATCCGTTGCAGAATATAGATGGTATCTTGAGCCGCATAGACCAAACGCATTATATTAGCAGCGTCGACCTGAAGTATGCATTTTGGCAAATTGAATTAGAAGATGAAGCCAAACCATACACAGCCTTCACTGTACCAGGTCGACCGCTATACCAATTCAGGGTAATGCCATTCGGTCTATGCAACGCTGCACAGAGACTGTGTCGTCTAATGGATCGTGTAATCCCCGGCCGATTAAAATCTAATGTGTTCATCTATCTAGACGACCTACTTATTATTTCTGATGAATTTGAGACGCATCTAAATCTCTTAAACGAAGTAGCGGAGTGCTTACAAAAAGCCAACTTAACTATTGGCCTAAAAAAATCCTTATTTTGTTTCCGTGAATTGCGATATCTTGGATTTATAATTGGAAACGGATGTTTAAAAACTGATCCAGAAAAGGTGAGCGCAATTCTGAAAATTCCTGTACCAAAGAGTCCACGTGAAGTAAGGAGCTTCTTGGGAACCGCCGGTTGGTACCGACGTTTCATCCAAGACTTCGCGACCTTATCCTCTCCCCTTACTGACACACTCAAAAAAGGACAGAAGTTCAACATAACTCCGAAAGCAGCAGAATCGTTCACAAAATTGAAAAAGGCACTAACCTCCGCACCTGTTTTGCGCCATCCCGATTTTAGAAGAGAGTTCTTCATTCAGTGCGATGCCTCTGAATATGGGATTGGAGCAGTACTTTTCCAAAAGGATGATGATGGAGGTGAATACCCAGTAGCATTTTATTCTCAAAAACTGAACGACAGTCAGAGGAACTACTCGGTCACAGAAAAAGAGTGCTTAGCTGCGGTATTAGCTGTTAAAAGATTCCGACCATACGTGGAGCTCATGAAATTTTCAATAATAACAGACCATGCAAGTCTCAAGTGGCTGATGTCTCTAAAAGATTTGAGTGGGAGACTCGCCAGATGGTCGCTGCAGCTACAAGCTTTTGACTTCTCAATTGAACACCGTAAAGGCTCGGAGAACATTGTAGCCGATACCCTGTCTCGACTCCCAATTGACTCAAATATAACTATAGAAGAGATTTCAGAGGATAATCTGCTTGACTTTGAAACCACAGCATTTGAAAGCGACGAGTATATGGAGTTAATAAACACAATCCAAACTAACCAAGAACGACTTCCCGATTTGAAGGTGGACAATGGTAAAGTCTACATCCGACTGAACCATTTTGATGAAACCACAATGGAATTTGAGTGGAAATTATGGATACCAGAGGATATTACTCACGCAATAATCGAAAAAGCACATAATTTTACACAATCTGTGCATGATGGTATCCACAAAACCCTAAATCGGCTGAAAACTTATTATTATTGGCCTAAAATGACTTCTCAAGTCAAACAATATATAAATAAGTGCCAAATTTGCAAAGAAACGAAGTCCACCAACCAAACAATGCGACCTACCATGGGAAACGAAGTGGTGACGGAACGACCGTTCCAGAAAATCTATATAGATTTTCTTGGGAAATACCCTAGGTCAAAGGGAGGAAATGCTTATATCTTCATAGTGATGGACCATTTCACGAAATTTATATTCTTAAAAGCGATGAGAGAAGCTACAGCGAAAAACGTGGTACAATTTTTGGAAAAGCAAGTGTTCCAAATATTCGGAGTTCCAGAAATAATACACAGTGACAATGGCAAGCAATTTGCATCTAATATGTTTGAAGAAATGGTCAAAAGTTATAAAATAAATCACATGACAACCGCATATTACTCTCCACAATCGAATGCAGCAGAGAGAGTGAACCAGTCTGTGCTGGCGGCGATAAGGACTTACGTCGAGAATGATCACCGCGACTGGGATTTGTACCTGGGCGAAATTGAGAAGGCTCTCCGAACATCGGTACATTCTGCCACAGGGGTCAATCCGTTCTTCGCATTATTTGGATACAACATGTTCACTAACGGAACCGATTATAAATTAGCGAAAAAACTGAGATCACTTACAGACCATCAAATAGTGCAAT